CCTGTCTGTTTGTTCTTTTGGTAGTTCTTGAAATGTCCATAACTCTTTTTTAACACTGCAGCAGAAAAGCATCAATACTTCTCTCATCCCTATTCATTGTCCAGGTCTCAGACTCAGAGCAGGTTATCGAAAGACCACAGCCTGAATCAGACACACCTTAGTCTTCAAATTGACATAATTACTCTTTTATAACTTGAAGAGGTCTCTGACTGCAAATTTTCCCAGTGAGCTGATTGTTAATTTTGATTTAATTAAGTTAATTGCTCCTTTTAATTTAATTTACAATCAGGTAGAAGTAGATTGGTTGTTTTGATTTAATTAACAGTCAGTTGTAGGCTGGAAAGCCTCTTGTTTAAACCAATCAGGGCTCAGTGGGTGGACCTGAAAAGCTCTTGTTTGTAGACTCTTGTCTGTGTTGGATTCTGATAGGTAAATTGTCTTGATTTAATTAACAATCAAGTGTACACTGATTGGTCATTTTGATTTAATTAACAATCAGTTTTGAGCTGGAAGCCTCTTGTTTAAACCAACCAGGACCCAGTGGGTGGGCCTTTTTGATTAAAAGTAGGTTGGGTCCTGCCTGAGAGTTTCTTGATTGTGTGCATAGAGTCAATACTCTATTGAAAACAACTTCTTGTCTTTAAATCAGACCAAACTGTAGCTGATCCTCCAGCAGGTTTTCAGAGACTGTAAACGACATGGGAGAAGTCTGCCTATCTTTTTAAAAGGAGCTACTGATGGATTTGAACCACCTGCTTTTATGTTGGCTTTATAACTGCTTACCTACTAAGCCACCAGAGCCCACTTTAGGGAGAAGCACATGTAATTCGGGCCTTGATTGTTGGGTTTTATTCCTCCCCTTCTTGCCTGCTACTTGTATGACTTTAGATAAGTCATTTGCTTCTTTTTTTTTTAAAAAAAATTGCGATTTATCTTCTCCTAAAGAATTATAATGCTTACTTTATCGATACCACTATAATTAGTTTACGGATTAAATTGTGGTTGTTAGGTGCTGTTGTTGTTATTGATTGCCGTTGAGTCAAGCATGACTCATAGTGACTCTATGAACAAAAGGCCTGAAGCCTTTCTATAACTGTAATCGTTTGTCAAAGTTCATAGAGTTTCCAGAGGTATGTTTTTTAGGAAGTGGATGCCACTCCTGCTTCCAAACCTATCTTGAATTGGGAGCTCCACCAAACTGTCCACTGTGGGTAACCGTTATGGCCTTTGACATTCCAGTGGCACAAGGTTCAGCATCACAGCAACCCCAGGTTACCTCAGTACAACATATTGACAGAACAGTGCTGTACCCCTAAAAAGAATGTTCCTCCAAAATAACAACTGACTTTTAAATACAAAGGCCTTCCCTGAGGTCTACTGAGTAAATTTCAACTTGTCGCAATCCTTTATATGATGGAAACACTAATATATCATCTTCACAATCATTGCCTTTTTCTGTGCCTTCTAACAACATGGAGGGAAAAGTATGTTAGCAGTAATTTTTGCAGTACGTTGTCTACATTCCATATTTTTTTAAAGAAAAACAAATTTGAAGTGCCTGTTCATATCCTGTGCCCATTTTTCTATTGGATTATTTACCTTTATCTTGTTGTGGTGCTCAAGTATTTCATAAATTCTGGATATAAGTCCCTTATCTGATATGTTATTACCGAATACTTTTTCCCAGTCAGTGGCTTCCCTTTTTACCCTACTGGAGAAGTTTTTGGATGTGCATAGGGATTTGAGTCTTAGAAGATCCCATTCATCTACGTTATCTTCTCCTGGTTGTAGGTTTTTCAGGATACTGGGAAGACTGTTTATGTTGTGGATTAGGACTTCTAGTGTTGTTCCTAGCTTTTCTGTAATGAAGTGTATAGTCCTTGGTTTTAGTCCTAGGTCCATGATCCACCTTGAGTTGGTTTTTGTGTATGGAATGAGGTGTGGGTCTTGCTTGAGTCTTTTGCAGATATTTTTCCAATTTTGCCAACACCATTTGTTAAAAAGGCTGTCGTTTCCCCACTTCACTGATTTCATCTCCTTGTCAAAGATCAGTTGACCATAGATTGATGGGTTGATCTCTGGATTCTCAGGCACTTCACTGAAGACGACATTCAGATGGCTAACAAGCACATGAAGAAATGCTCAAAATCCCTAGCCCTAAGAGAGATGCAAATTAAAACAACTATGAGATATCATTTCACCCCAGTCAAAATAGCAAAATTTGACAGAACAGCAAGCAACAAATGCTGGCGAGGTTGTGGAGAAACTGGAACCCTGATTCACTGTTGGTGGGAGTGTAAAATGGTGCAACCCCTGTGGAAGGCAGTATGGCACTTTCTCAAAAAGTTGCAAATAGAGATACCATTTGACCCAGCAATTCCACTACTGGGAATATACCCTGAAGAGACCATAGCTGACATGCAAGCAGATATATGCACACCCATGTTTATTGCAGCTTTGTTCACAATAGCAAGGAGTTGGAAACAACCTAAGTGCCCATCAACAAACGAATGGCTAGAGAAGCTGTGGTATATTCGCACAATGGAATACTATGCTGCATTGAAAAACAAGGAACTCATGCAATATTATTCAAAATGGTTGACTCTGGAGAACATTATGCTGAGTGGAGTATCCCAGTCACAAAAGGACAAATATTACATGATGCCACTGTTGTAGAATGGGACTGTCCTTGGGGTTGGGGAGAGACTGAGTAAGATGGGTTCAATAATGTATACTGCACTGAAACAGAGGAGGGAGAAAACTGTTTAAAAGAGATATATAACTAGGTATTTCTGTCATCACAGGAGTCTAGAGCGAGGGCTACATGGTGGAGGGGACCTGGGCGAGGGTTTGTAAAACAATGAAAGAATCTTTTCTTTTACTTTTCCATAATTTTTGACTCATGTACTTATAACTTGTTAGTCAAATTTGTGTCTTCTAGGTTGCAACCCCCCCATGATACATCTTCAAGGATATGAACATGTACGGCCAAGCACAATCAATAAGAGTGCATCTAAATTCCAAAATCAATCTCCATAATAGTCTGTGTGTTTCCTACTGCCAAAGGGGCCCTTTAGAGTAGTGAGAGAAGATCTTCACCCTGAAACCCGCAGCGTCCCTTTTCAGCAGGAAGTAGCTAAGAGAATACGCCATCCCCTTTTCCTTATGACTCAGGGTGAAGTCTCTCTCAGGGAGGAGTGATAGGGAATGGCAAAGGACACACTGACAAAGAAGATTAATCAGAACTGGCTTTGACAAGCACTGTGGCATTTGGACAAGAACAAACTGGGAGGAGGGTAGAGAGAATAGTGCAACAATGAATGAATGGAAACCCAAAATCTCTGTAAATGTTTATGAAAATTAATAAAATATAATTATAGAAAAAAAAGAAAAACAAATTTGCTTGGTATATACTAATAATTATTAATAACCATCATACTTGAGTACCTAGTAATTCTGGGTCCATTTTTAATAAGCATGCCTGTTATTAGCACTCATTTTCAGATAAGAATGTTTAGCACCGTTAGATGTAAATGATAAAGTTTAGAACACATTGTGAAAACTAATACAGGTCCATCTTGGAATTCTACAGATATTTTAGAATATCACATGAGATTTCCCATAACATGAAATTATTTAAAAATCTTGTCATTTATCTCCCTGCCTGAATTGATCTTAATTTCAACATACATCCAAGTTAAAACCAATCTGAGTTCTATTTTGTCAGCTTTTCATTTGTTGGAAGACAGATCTTTCCTTGTAAAGCACAGACAACATCACCATGGAGCCTGATTTCCCAGAGAAAGGAACTCTTCCAAATTAGAAAAAAAATGAGTTCAAATAGATTTGGAATACAAAATCATGACTATCACGAACAATAGAGCCTCTTATTCCCAATGGTTACAGTACTCTGTAACACTTTTCTGAAAAGTTTAAAAGGCATATTATCTTTCATTATGTTTTTATTTCTATGCAACAGAAAATATTTTTGTTAGCTTAATATCAGCTAAAAAGTTGACAATCTTCTTCATTGAAAATCTGTCAAATTTTTCTGGAGTGTAGCTATAACCAATTTGAAGGCAAACCTTTGCAGTCTTCTATTATGATATGTCCCCCAGGGAACCTTGGAACTATTCTCTGACAATGACTTAAACCCATGCATGTTTCAGAATCATGCCTTAGATTATGAATGAGTCAGAGTAAAAGTAAACCAATGACATATAAAGGAACATAGGTATTGGCTGGGAAACAAAGAGGAAAAGAATTTGAGTTTTCTTTATTACAAGGCTTCTGTGCTTTGACCACTGCTGGCAAAACCACTTTCCAGTCCTGGTTTTATAAACTTCTTCCAGCATCACACATGCACACTTACATAGTTTATGATTTTATTTTGACATTTCTTGAACTACAACACTTTGCTGATTAATTGACTACAACTGCTTTTGAGCTGTCTTTAAAAAAGGTGCAAATTATGATTCTAAAGAGACCTGATAGAAGTGTAAATGAAAGCAAGTAAAACATTTCTAAAGTGGAGTTATTTTAAATGCACACAGTAGATACAAATACAGAATCTGTCTACTTAATTTTTTTTTGTTTGAGGCTTATTGCCTCATGATGGGAAATGAATGTGTGAATTCTACAGAGGGTGTGAAATTTTGCGTTTTGTACAGTCTGGAAACTTAGTAATAATTATGAATATAGTAATAGAAAAAGTGATACAAAAGTTAGAAACATTATTTTAATTTTAAATGCAATTATTTCTGGGGAGGAATTTAGAATCTAGAAATTTAGGGCTATTCTTGTGGCCTTTGATTTAAAAAGTGAGGAATTTCCAAACCTCTTATAAATGGTAATTTTGGGGTCAATTTTAAAATGGAAAATTGCATTAACTAATGTTTTCTATGTCTAAAATTCCAAGTGGGTCTGAGTCTGATAAGCCCCTGAGCAGCAACTTAACCCAGGCTAAATGAAACTTAACCTTTTCTCTCTTCTCCCATCAGTGGACAATGGGCCTCAGCTGCATGGAGCATTAGAGAAGCTTGCTCGAGCTGTAGGCCAGCTGGAAGGCCAGGCTCCCCTGCTCTCCCGCCAAATAGACACTTGGCACTGAATTACCCTAGGGCAGTGGTTTAACATGGTCTGAACGAAGCTTGGATTTTGAAGTATCTATCTCCTTAGGTCGATGTCCCTGTGAGTCCAAAGACCCCTTTTTTATTAACTGGCTTCTCCCATGGATGGAAATGATGACAGGAAACAGTTAACCGCTATAACGGTGGGTTCTTTTTTTATTATTATTTGTAATTTTGTCTGTTTGCATGAGAGCCTGGCAGCATATGGCCTGATGAATTAAAAAAAAACAAAACCTTGTAAACTCTTGTCTGCTGGCCAGAGCCTCCAGCTCATGGCATTAGCAGGGGCAGGGCTGCTCCACCTGCCACGTGTCTAGAGGATACGGCATAAAGTGATGACCCACTCGGCTTTCAGAGCCAAATCAGGCCAGGCAAATGCCACGATTTTCAGGAGCCCTTGTGGTGCAGAGGTCAAAGTCTCCAACCGAAAGGTCAGCTGTTTGAAACCACCAGTAACTCCACGAGAGAATGAGGTGGTACTCTGTTTCTATAAAGATTTACAGTCTTGGAAACCCTCTGGGGCAGTTCTAGTCAGCTCCACAGGGTTGCCATGAGCTGGCATCAGCTTGATAGCAGTGGGCATGGTCTTTAGTTTTGTAATGCCATGATTTAATTCCGATCAGTTCTGTTAATGACTAAAAATGGCACTACCCACTGTTTCAGTAGTAAATCTGATTGGTAAGCTGCCCAATCGTATCTGTCCTACCTAATAGTCTATGTTAAATGCGTCCTATCAGGCCAGCAGGAATATCAAGGGACTAGTAATGCTTCAAATCCAATGCACATGGGCTCATTTTGGGAAGAAATACATAGGGATGGTCACACACATTATCATTCCCTGCTAATAGTTACTAACAGCGAATGCTGGGAGAGAAACAAAGATATTTAAGAAACAATTTGGTTTGCTTTTTTATATATTTGTTGTTTTTGAAGTCAAATATTTCTATGGATCTTGAATTTTGAATTATCCCTTTTTGGTACCATAAATTTATGCAAAATTTTTATTTTACAATTTCTTTTGAAAACAGAATTATTTTCTTTATCTGAAGCATAAGAATTACAGTTATTTATGTTGATATTTTATAGTTTAATTGAGTCAGAAGTATTTCTATTTCTCTGAAGTTTGTAGTGTATTTAATTTATAATCAAGCAATGTTGTTGTGATTATGTGCCCACAAGTTGCTTGCAATTCGTAAAGACTCTATATACAACAGCTCTGGACCCTGCTCTGTTGTAATCCAACTATACTGTCTCTGACACAATCCCATTACTCCAGTCACTGAGTCAATGCATTTTATCTTCCCTTGTTGCACTGTCACTCTACTTTCCCAAGCAAAATGTCCTTCTTCAAGGGCTGGTTCCTCCTTGCCTAAAGTATGTCAGATGAAGCTTCAGAATCCTTGCCTTAAAGGAGCAGCCTGGTTTCACCCTCTTCAGGACAAACCTGTGTGTTCAATAGTCTTCCTCAGCACCACAGCTCAAAGGAATCTACTCTCCTTCTATCATCCCTAGTCATTGTCCAGCTTTCTGATGCATAGCATGTAATTGCGAAGACCATGGCCTTGATCAGGTCTTGATTAGTCTCTAGACTGAATCATTACTGTCAGTTCTCTGGAGATGTCTCTGACAGCAGACTTTCCCAATGTAATTTGTCTTTTGATTTCCTGGCTGCTAGACCAAGAGTGTTAATTATGGAGCCAAGGAAACTAAAGCTGTTAATAATCTCAATCTCTTCATCGTCCATCATGATGCTGCTAATTGGCCCAGTGGTGAGAATCTTTGTTTTCATGATGTTGAGCTTCAATCTATATTGAAGAATGCAGTCTTTGACCCTCTGCACCTCTGCATCAAGCACTTCAAGTCTTCCTCTGTTTCAGCAAACAAGGTTGTGTCATCTGCATAACGCAGGTTGTTGATGAGTCTTCCTCTGACCCTGATGCCATGTTCCTCATTGTAGAGTCCAGTTCTGCATATAGGTTGAAAAAGTGTGGCGATAGGACACACACCCCTGGCATACACTCTTTCTGATTTTAAACCAAGTAATAGAAATAAAAATATACAAATGAACAAACAAAAGCAGCATATAGCCCTTTACTAATCTAATGCATTGATATGCAAATCATAAGTAAGCCATTCTGAAAATTTACGTTTGTCTGTATCACTGGTATATTTTGATCTCGTTCAGAATCTCCCTTTGGCAATTAGTATTGCCGAGACATTAGTACTAAAAGTAGGTTGTCACATTAGCACTAAAAGTAGGTTGTCAATGATCTAAGAAAAGGAGAAAAATAAATTGATGGGAGTATGTAGAAGGTGCTTTAGCTTTATCAAATGACTGTGTTTTTTTTTTTTTTCATTTTTGATGAGCTTCAGAAGACACTTTGAATGCCATGGAATTGACTAAAATAGAAAAGTTCAAAAGAAAAATCCTACTTGCTGCTAATTAGACTCTAATTTACAGCATTCTAGTGTGTGTTAAGAGGGGAACTGTGCTTCGTATGAATTCAAAGACTGATTTTTTTTTTCCCTGACGTGGATATCCAGGCCTTTCTTCCAACATGCCTCAAATACACTTAAATCTCCAAGGTTTCACTTAGCAGCCGAGAGTGCACTTTATAAACATTATCTGTTTGCACAATCCAATAGAAAACATGCATCTTTGCTAGATGGTAGGTATTGCTATATTATTAAATTTCTAGCACAGCTCTATGAGGTGGTGAAGGAGATGGCTTCAAATAGTTGTTGTTTGTTATTCTGTATGTGGAGCTGTTTCATAATTGACTCTCCAGCGGGTTTTTGGAAGCAGTTAATCACATGAGAAGCAATTGCCCATTTTCCTCCCTCAGATCAACTGGTGAATTCAAACCACTGAGGTTGGCAGATCAACTCCTTACCAATCAGTAATAATGAAGCCATGGCATCAGCTGGTCAGGGTGGTGGTACTGGGGTATAACTTCAGAAGGTTCCTGCTTGGAACGGTATAGAATCTTTGATTCCTGAATTTTGGCCATCTCTAGAGGATACTGCTGTGGAGTGGGACTTAGAGGCTGGTGTTAGGAGTTAGTTACTAACATAGGAAAGCCCTTGTTAACTGATGTGGCAGAAATTCTGTGTGCTGGTTGAACACAAGTCTCAGGTGGGCATTATTTAATAGATGGAGGCATTGCAGCTTAAAAGGGTGGAGCAGGTTGTTCAAGGTCACAAAGCTATTAACACCTTGCCACAAATGACAGCAAATGTGTTTCTAAGCGCGGTCGTCAATTTTAAAAGCGTGCGACAACGTGTTAAGAGGCAGAACTAGAATTTGAAATTATCTATTTTGCTCTAAAAATGGAAGCCTTTTCCCCCATGACAAGCTTCAACTATTGTGCATTCAGGTTGTTGTCATCAAATGCTGTTGAGTGAGCTATGACTCATAACTTGATTAAGAAACGATCTGGACCTTGCCCTATATCCTGTGCCATCCTCATTATCTCTGATAGACGAACCCATTGATACAGCCACTGTGCCAATCTATCTTGTTGAGGGTTTTCCTCTTTCTCTGATCCACCACCTTTTCTAATGTCTTTTTCTACAATCTAGTCTCTCCTAAGACATCCAAAGTTCATGAGATGAAGTTTCACCATTCTTGCTGGTCAGAAGCACCCGACCGGCAAGTCCACAAAGGCAGACTTGTTTCTTTTCACAGTCCATGGATGAGCCAGTACTCATCTCCGCACACCTCAGAGACATCGGTTCTCTGTCATTCTATTTCATTATCCAACTTTCAGATTACTGAAGAGTTCAACGCAATCATTACTCAGATTCTCTCTTAGTAAAGTGGGTAAACCACTCTTGGGTGATGCAAACAGCTGCTAATTGAGATTAGAAGTTCAAATTTACCCAGAGGTGACTCAAAAGAAAGGCTTGGTGATCTCTTTTTAAAAAATTAATCATTGAAAACTCTACAAAGCACAGTATACAAGGATGGCAATTGGCTCAATACGGATAACACCTGGTTTTGTTGCGTATGGTTTTTTTTTTTTTAAATTGCAGTAGTTTGTTCTATTTGGAATTAAGCAGTTTATATATTTTATTTTATTGGTTTGCATACTATAATTCATTACATTGTGTTTCATTCATGTACATTGTATTTTATATAATTACAATTGACTATGCCTATAATAACAGTCTTTTCAAGTCCTGACTGCATATTTCCTATTTCTTCACCTACTGACCCTTTCCATTCACTAAACTTTCCACACTTCCCTTTTTCTCTATCCCCTTCCTCCTTTTCCTGTAACCCTTTGGACACTTATACATGTCTTATTATCCTTCTATTTTTACAGTAATGATACTATGCCATATTTTTTCTTATGAGACTTAGTTCATTCAGCATAGTGCTCTCTGGATTTTCCCATCATGTGTAGTATTTTATGAAATTATTGTTTAGTACTACATAATATTCGATTGTGTGAATGTGCCACAATTTCTCAATCCACTTATTTGTTAATGGGAATTTGGACTGTTTCCATTTTCTTTCTATTGTGAGTAGCGTTGCTATGAACATAGATCTATGTGATATTTATTTATGTTTTAGTTTGAACGTGTTTTAATGTGGATAAAAAATCAAATAAATCTTAGCAATTGATAAAGGTTGATTGATAGAAAATATATTTAAAACATAGGCAACTCTTAGACTTTAGAGTATTTGTATACATAATTGGTGTTTAATAAGTGTTTATTGAATTAAGATAAAACCTTTTATTGTCTTCTCTAAAAAGGGATATGCCTAGAATATATACCCATGATCTTTTTAGCTAAAAGAGAATTCTAGATTTAAAAAAATAAAGATATCAAGCTGTTGAAAATATGGCAAGATTATTTAAACCCAGATGAAATAATTTAAGTTGAACATTGTCGTTATGTGCCGTCGAGTCGCTTACAACTCATAACAACGCTATGTACAACAGCCCTAAACTCTGCTCTGTCCTGTGCCAAT